TGCCTTGATAAGGGAGGGGGTAGGGGGGAGAGGGTACAGGGTTATAAAAGGCCCTTCTGATGATAAAAAGGCGGCCCCCGAACTAAAATCACCACGTATGTCCCTCTTCATTTCAAGAGCCCGATTTCACTTATCTTATTTTTATTTTTACCTTCTTTAACTGAAACAGAAGTTACAAGGTACCGGAAAATGCAATTCTGCTTGCATTTTAAAGTCATTCAACTAAAGGAATCGGATGTTAAATGTCTGCATGGAACAATCCGTCGGCGCTGTTCGTTTTACAGTGGTCCGAAAAGCTCTTTCTTAACCGATCTATCTCAGAGGCTTTGTCAGATTTTGTTCTCGGTTCTACGAGATATTGAGGACTCGCGAACGTAGACTGCATATCGAAATGATTACAAATTTGCATTAAGATGGTCGACTCATATTCCGTCCAAGAATTTGCAACCTTTAGCCTAGCAAAGATCAGTGAGACAAGCTATGTGATACAGTTTTGAACATGCGCGCTCGCAAGCCCTGGAAACATAACCCCGACGCCTGATGTTGCAGTCTCCGTGGGCCGGGCCGTGTCAGCCCGGCGGCTAACACTGCACGGCGACGAACGGGCGGACGAAAATGGTGACACATCTGAGAAAAGCGCCTTTGAACGAGCTATAACATCAGCTCGTACGCTTATAGAACAGTCCGGGCGTATATTTCACCTGCGCCATTTTTGGATTCATAATAGCGGAACATTCGCATTTACAGCGCCCCGAACCGGCGTTGGAATCTGGTTTTGTAAGTGGAAGAGTAAAAGTAGAATCTCTTTTTTTCGTGCTGCTCTAACTCCTAATCTGTTCAGAGAACAGTCTGAAAATTATGAAGGTGAAATTAACGCCCCAGTCTGACATCTGAACGGTGCGAATGGATTTGGCAAAACTTGAAAACACCATGTCATGACGGTCGTTCTCTCGCGCGCGGCGCCCGCCGCCTGTTGCTATCTGAAGCGCCAACGCCGTTCGGCTTCAGAGAAACTGCAACCCCAGCTAGAGCAGTTCTTGCCCGTAAGATTGCGAACGAGCAGGCTCAAAACCTTTTGTGCATTTTCTTTCACATGTCGCTTCCGCTTAAGTATGGACGTTCTACATACAAGAGTTGGCCCTGTCCCTGCTTGGGAAATGGACCCTGGCCATACGTTCGGTGATCGAACCCTCAAAACAGAGAGGATTGGTGCTGACAGTAGGCATTGCTTTCTCCGATCGTCCTTGGGTTGAGAAATCCTTGGGCGCCCCTAAAAAGCTGTTAAACGTCGCGTAGCAAAGTGATGCAACATTTTCACATCCACGCATGTACGGATTCTCCCAGGGGAAGTACTGAATTGCGCTATGAATATGCCCTGCTGGATATATGCCGGACTCCCAGTGTGTGCAATGTGCGGGCTCATTTTCGGTCAACTATCAATCTCACGACTGCAATAATGAATTAGCCTGATCTAGTTTTAGAGATGACTGAAAGATTCCGATAAGCCGCTCGCTGTGTTGATAAAAAACACATAAAACGCACGTACATTGACTTGACTCAACGCACGCTGAACGCATTTTGCGGTCTAAAAACTGTAATGAAAAAAGCTCTGATGAATTGGATAGCACATGTTTTGCTTCCAGTTTCACTGTTCGAGTTTATTTCGCCCTTCGAGCGAAACGTCATGACTTTGTGGGCGCAACGTTCAGCGACCACCAGCGCCTTTCACGTACCAGGTAAGCAAATATCTGCTGCGAATACCACAACCACTCATCATCCTCTTAAACTCGTTTTAAAACCGCCCGCCCTGCACCACACGAGCAAGCGTATCGCAATGCGAGAATGTTGCAAAAGGTCAGGCGATTTCTTATTACCCGTTATGGTATGGGTACTGAGGGATACCAGCTCACTGGATAGTGGACAATAGAAGAACAGATGCCAGGGACAAGCCAGTGTTCGATTTCGCGACAAACGAATTGATAATCCGACACTGACTGCGACACGCCGACGCTTTAGCCCCGACACTGACTCCGACAAACGGAATCCGGCACTAGCTCAAAATGCAGGGAGCTAATTACGACTTTCCCGCAGAGCAGCTGAGCATCGCTTTGGGTCGGCTTCGGTTGTGACGCCAGGAGAAATGGCTCAATTCCAGAATCGATTGAGATACAGCCAATTCGACGACATTTTATGGATGCATTTTATGGATAGAACAGTTTGTTGCCTAAATAAAAGCCTTGAGAAGGACTGGAAAGCGATCCGGTGGTTATCTATGGCGGTGTTGCGTTCGGTGCACGTGGAAGCTATCCGCCATAGGAGGTACTGCGTCACCCGGCTTCCATCTGAACCGTCTCACTCGCGAGATTGCAAACTTTCTCCGACTCGGCCCGGGGGGGGGGAGAAATTTTAAAAGTCGAGCCCTTTTTGGCTCCACATGAATTTGACTGGTTCCGTAGTTGATTTGGAGTTCGCCCGGAGGCAAGGGTGAGCCTGGTCAAAAGCGATACCAGACGTTGTCCTTCAATACCACACCGTCATTGCCACAAAACAGCTTACCCGTCTGTACGAACAGTGCCGGGTTCAGAATAAGTGCATCTCTTCGGTGTGATATCAGTCTTAAATGCATGGTCCGGGTGCATTTGCTCGACAACTGGTTCATGTTTCACGATCGTGGCTTGCAGTCTTGAAGTCATGGTAACGAATATATGACAAACAAACCTACCTAAAGGCGGCAGACGGGCGTTGGATCTCGAGGGCAGACATTTCAACTGAGGGCGCCACCAGTGAATTCTCTTGTCACACGGTGAGGGGGGAAAATGTGTCTCGGGGGGGGGGGGGGTGACGGGGCAGAGAACGCATCAAGTATTCTTTCTGTCTGTCCATTGTAGAATAAATTTCAAAAGTTGATAAATAATTGTCGGCTGCTAAGCAAAAACGACAACGGCCAGAGCTGGGGCATTTTCTGTCGGACAGAACGGGCTAAAGCTTTCGTTAAAACCCCAGCAAGTTCAAACCGCATTCTCTCCCACCCCTTTGCTTTTTCGTCCAGTAGCTGGAAACCTAACAAACGCAACGTGGAAACCCCTCAGGCCTAGCGGCTCCTAGGCAACAGTTTTTAGGCAAGTGACAATAGTTTTTTTCTGCAACATGGTGCTTTCAGAGGGTTTGGTGGTAATAGCTGATCGCATGCCCAAGAGCTCCGCTTGGTTATTTAGAGAAAAACAACCTTCTCGCTCCAATCTGCACATGATGCACTGACGGCTTCACCGGGGAAAGCAGGGGCGCAGGCAGAACTTGCAATGGGGTGAGAGTACCATGACTTGCGCGAAGGCTGGAACGAAGGGGCTTATTGATTTGCGAGCGAGTCCCAACCTATTGACAGCGGGACCTACGAACTGCGAACTGACTAACATACCCCACAAACGCTAATAGATACGGTTCCAGGCGTATCAATAAGCTTTCGACGTTGGTTTGCCCTGGTGCTATAAACAATGGTTTCAGCTGCATACCGTGAATATTTAGTCGGCTGTCAACTTGTCTTGCTCCTAAATTATAGTCGTTGGGCTCAAACGTCACTGCCCATGTTGGCATCTATGCAGTTTACGACCAAAATAGTCATCCTGACTACAAAACCTGGAATTATATCCAGTAATGTTGTGGTGAAAGCTGCGCTCGAACCTTACGGGAAGCCAAAGCCCCACAAGTCCCACCCCCCGCCCCTTTGGCTGCACCGCTGGGAGAAAGGATGGGCCATACCGGAAGCGACAAAGCACAAGTTTTCAACCTGAAAGCTTGTTTTTCAAGTCATTCGCCAGCCCCATGTGCAGTGTTCGGCACTGGGCCAGAACCACCCAAGATCTGACGTCGCACTGGCGCGTGACAAGATGTCATCCCCAACCGACAGCGACGCGCATCATCGTTGGCAACAGCGTGCAGACTGCCGGCCCCCAGACGCCGCACCAACAACGCGTCTCAATATCCGGGTGTCACACCATCTCCCTCAGCGATGCCACAACTCAGCGGCTAATTACAACATGGCTGTCGGCGATCACCATTTTTGGTGTATTCGTCACTAATGAGGCGGGACGGCGAGCGTCCCAGCAGCCATCGCCCTGTTTTGCATTGGAGCGCGTCCGCTCCGCAGACCGCTCGCGCCGCAGCAGCTCCCCGCCACACAAAGAACAACCGGTCGTGGCGTGCGGCCGCTGTCTCATTGGCTGCCGGCTGGAGCGCTCTGCCAATGGCGGACGCAGGAGGGGTTTAGTGCCGAGCTCTCTGATTGGTTGCCAGGTCGGCAGCGTCGGTCGCGCCTTTCCGGCGTCGCGCAGCGGCGGTGAGTCTGCGAAGCGTCGGTTTTCCGGCAGCTTGTGGGTCGTGTTGCGTATCCTGGAGTGAAAGCGAGTGTGGCATAGCTTCTCGCACATATCTACATGCGATTTCGTGGCGAAGATCTGGCGCTATCACTGGAATTAGCGGGGAACGAGGCAGGTGAGCGCGGCTGGATTCTGGCGTTGGGTGATGTTGGGTCAGTCCATGTTGATAGCAGGGGTGTGCCGGTGTCCGCCATATTGGGGCCGGTGGATCTTGTTTGCTCGTCGCGTCCCAGTGTAGCCGAGCGCTAAACCCTCCCCTGCCGGCCGTTGTTGGCAGTCCGCCAGCTTGTGGCGCCGCCATTGCGTTATGAATTGTCGGCTGGCCGACGGCGTCTGCTCTGGATGGTGGTATTGATTTCTGATGTGCTGTGGGAGACTGAGAAAAGCTGGGCGTGAACTGTAGCGGACTGGGTCTTGCCTGGGAGCTCGCCGGCGCGACCACCATGCGCTCCCAGACGTCTACGACGGGCCGTGAACGCCGAGTATCATGCAAAGGAGGAAACCCGTCTTAATCTGAGCTCTCGCTCCAGCCAACAGCAGGATATGGGCTATCCTGTCCAGCTATTTGTGAACCAAATGCTTATTTACCTACCCGCCTGCCAGCCGTGGGCCAAGTCACGGACTCACCCGTGGCGCTCGCGGCGCGAAGGTCGATCGGCCGCTGCGTAGAGCGGGAAACGCGTCTATAGCGTCGGTGCGCGGAGGGCGCCGCCGCAGCCGGCCGGCGCCCGGAGCGTCCACGGGCAATAGGCGCCGGGAGACGCGGCCGGCGGTGGCCCGGTGCGGCCGCTGCCGGCGCCCCGGCCAGCGCCCCGGCCGGTCAGCCGCGTCGGCGGACAGGGACAGGGGCGCCGGGCGCGCGGCTCAGTCACGGCCGCTGGTGGGGCGCGGCGTCCTTTGTCCCGCCGTCTGCGGGGAAATCGGCCCGCAGCCCACCCCCGCGAGGGGAGATGTGGGGTCGCGAGGTGTCTGCTAAAATTCGTCGATTCGTCGAAAATTGGTGCGATTGCGATTAAGATGATTGCGATGCGGTCGCTAGGCGTTTGTCAGGTGCGCAATGATATAGATGCCAGGATTGAGCCAGCCAAGACATTTCTACTGAGCTAGATGGGAAGTGGGAGCATGTTGTGTTGATTTATTTTATTATCTCTGTTGTGCCAGGAGTTTTCTCTTTCTGTGGTTACGCCACGTAGTTGCCACGGCTTTACCAGAGACAAATATGCGGTATTGGTGCTCTCACCATGGCAGCGCTGTGATCCGTAAGATTACAGCCCGAGACGAGTGCAAATATGTCAGCGTATCAGGCAGGATATATTGGAGATTCACAGCTGCGTGTTCAATTGGTACCCTGCTCTTTTGGCCCAAATTAACTCGCTAACAACGTGGTGCGCCCAGATCTTCTGACTTGCCCTCCCAGGTTTAGGGGTGTGGAATTATTTCCACCGATCTGAAACCGAAGCAGGTGCCTGCCGCGCGGCCTGCTCAAGTTCAGCATTTGAAGACAATTCTGATTAATACGTTCATTCACGTTCAATATGACGACAAAGTGGAATTCACCTCTTCATGATTATCTGTGACCCTGAACATCTTCCCCAAGCACTGGAAGAGGCTACGGTAGGGTGGTTCATGATTCAGACTTTTGTCTGACGTAATTTGCCCACATACCCCCAGCATCTGGCTGATGAAAGCGGCTGGGCATGATGCCAATTAGTTAACGATGAACGGAAAGTGGCCACGCCCGCGGTAATATAGGCTATCTGCCGAGATGTGCTTTAACATTCGTCGCAGGCGCACAGCGCGAGCCATCACTGTGTCAGAGAGGGGTGGGGTGTGGGGGGGGGGGGTACCCGAACTGAGACGTGAGACGCTGCGAGTGAGCGATTGCGATCAAGTCGTCGTTTTCTCGTTCGCAGTGTTTGCTTCCGCTCGGTAGGACGACGGCAACCAGTAGTAGCGAATGTAGCCTAGGGGTAGTTGCATCCTCTCCCGAGAGGCCGCTCTATGGGGCCGCGGCGTGGCGACATATCCAGGGGCCTAAGTAGGAGCTCGGTAAGAGATGGCACTGCTCCAATTTGTCAACAAAAATTGCCATGCCATGTACACAGCGTGGACTTGCTCGTAGATTTGGTTAAAAATGTGTCCCATTCACGAGGGGCACATGACCCCTGTGACCCCACGAATGCACCTTAGCGCACAGGTGCGTCGTTTCCGTGTCGCTGACGGCCCCGAATGAGTAGTTCCACCCAAGCGATCGGGAGGCCTACTGAGAGGTCAGATAGGTCAGGTCATAGGAAGGTCAGGTATGCTGCAATCGGGCTTACCATGCGTGGCGGACCAAATGCATAATTGATGCATTTCTTATTGCAACCGAAGCCTCGGATCTGTCCGGGGCTGGGAGGTCTCAGCTCCGAAGCCGTTTCTCCGTTGTCCGCGTTGCACCGGCAGGTGCCAACAGCTCCCAACAGCCTACCACAGCTGGTAGCGCTGTTCGTCGTTTCCGGGCACCATTCCAGGTCAATCCTTCCAGTCCCTATAGGGACTGGAAATACGTGGAGTGCATGATGCAAGCTATTGTGTGTGTATGTGCGTGGAATACGTGCTACTAAAAGCTGGATGTGCGTGGAATACGTGCTGCTATTTTGGGGTTCATTCACCGAAGATGTCACACCTGTTCCCAGTGCGGGCACAACTGTGGCGGCCTCATGCGGACAGCGGGAGAATGACGAAACCTGGCGCAGGACATTTGTTTGTCTGAAGACTTGCATTGGTTGATCGCAGCGTGGCGCCGTGGCGTCGGCTGTGTTCGCAGCGGCACGTCAGCCGAATGAGCGTCACTGTCTAGCCAATTACGTCTTCACCACGGAAGCTACGGCCAATCACTGCGATGCATGCGTGCTGGAAACGCGCGAACGTTCGGTTGCGAACACGCCTGAGCGGTGCGGCGCCGCCGCTCCCGTCGGTGCTGCACAGGACGCTGGTCAGGTCGTGTAATGGACTGATCACCCTCATCATCAAACCAGCAGCGGTGCTGCCGGCGTGGTGCGGCTGATCTGGCAGTAATACACCGTCTTCCGATTTTCACCTCCTAAAGCCACGACAACTCGCCTTTTAAGGGGCACAGAAAACAGGATTTTATTTTTAAAGGATTTGATGAGCAATATCAGTAGTTGGTTGCTATATAGCTGTCTCTATCAGTAAATCCTTTCTCACTTTGAAAGTGTCCGCGAAGTCTTCAGCGTGGATACCGCAGGGGGGGGGGGGGGGGGGGCGGGGGCAGACCGTCTGTGACGGCTTCAGCATGAGCGCTGTGTACGGTATACTGGTACCCACGCTGCGGTGGTACTGGGGGCAGGGCCTTGCGGCTCGTTGATACGAAGCAGGACGTGCAGAAGTATCCATATTTGAGTACCTGGCCGCCTGGGTTGAGAGGCTGCGGTTTGGAACAGCGCCATTTCGTCGTCGCACCCGAAATTTATGTAGGCGAATTTCTTCGGCGTGCCTTCTAGTGCCGACGCCGAGAAATTGCCCGAGGGGTGAGACAAGGCCAGTGACGGCTGTCACCAGCGCGGTGGCGCGTCTGCCGCTCAGTGCCACGGCCGCCCGCCCGGCCCGTCGACAGCGGGGTGCTCGCAGACGCTTGTCTTCTGGTTACGGCTCGTTTGTGTGTGCGCCGCGCGCACAGGCGGTTAGTCCGGTGGTGTAAACGATAGCATGATGGAAAACAGCGGCATGGCCCCACGCAGATCAGCTGGCAGCATCGTGATGTACTCTGCCCGGCGAGGTTCTCGGCGACTCTCCGTGTAGGCTGGCTGTAAGTTCACGCAGCTCGCCGTGTGTAGGGAGTCGGTTGGCGAACCATTGTCTTCACGGCGGTTTGCGACTCCCTCCACATGTCAGCCGTCCACGTCATACTGTAATCTCTGCCCGCAGAGACCACTGCTGCGCCAAAATTGGCAGTGGAATCTGTTTCTTTACATGCACTGATATGCGGTAGATGCTGATATTTTCCTAAGAAGGGGAAGGAGGGGAGGGGGAGTAATCGGTCGTCTCTGCTCTCGAGTCGCACTGGACGCTGTCAGGACATGCCTCCCACCGGATGGTGTGCGTACGTGGAGGCCAACAATCTCTTCAACGTAGGTGGACCAAGCGACGGCCAGCGACCTAGCCGTCCGAACAGCAGTGCGACGGTGCCGTCCGACAGTAGCGTCATCGCCATGATGCCCGCTGCCATCTGTGATGGCGCTGCGGTGCGGACCTCGGAGGTGCTCCCCTCTTGTAAGGCATCCGCTGCGGTGGATTCGGGGCTTCAGTTGCAACCGCGGCGCTGCGATCAATGCCACACTTGGAGCGGCGCTGCAAGCGGCGACGGCGTGGGGCTCGCGAGGGCCTGCTTTGTCTCCCCGATCAACGGCGGCGTTCACGGCCACAACAGGCTCCCGGAATAGATTTGTACCGGTCTGCCGGGAATGAGCAAGCCTGGCTAAGACCTGCAACAGAAGTGGAAAGGCGACGTTTGCGGCGAGCTTGCTAGGGGCAGGAACGACGATTAGCGTCCGCTCACCAGAGTAAACGCTTCGTATTCGGCTTCGATGATTGTGAGGCTGCATTACTGCCTTGGAATGGCAGGGGAAAATCATTACAGTATTCAAAATGGTTGTTATTGGCTTTGAAGTTGTCGAAAACGGTAGCATTTTTAATAGCCCCGAAAATTATATTTTTATATTGATACCACCTGGCCGTCTCGAAAAGCAGATTGTCTGGTGATGTGGCCGCCCTCACGTGCGAGCGACGTCAGGTCACGGCACCACCCCTGCCGGCCGGCCCCTGGCTGGGCCCGGGCCGCCGCCCCGCCGCCCCGCCCCGCCCCTCCCGCCGTCTCACGCACTGTGCGCCTGCCGCTATTGATCGCCGGGTCGCTCCCCTCCGGGCCCTCGTCGCCATAGCGACCGCCGCCGCCTCATCCTATCAGGCCCGCGGGCGGCGCGGGCCGGCAGCACGTGCCGCCGGCTGGTCGGCCGCGCCGCGCGCCGCCACGACCGCCCATTGGCGAGTGGCCGCCGGCGGCAAAAACCGCCGCCGCGAACGGCCGGGCCCGGCCCGCCATTCGCCCAGCGGGCCGCCGGTTCGGCGTGCTCGCGCCCTATGCCGACCGCAGCGGCCGCGCCGGCCAAATGAGGCCCGCTGTCGGACGTGCGCAGGGGAGGGGACTGCCCGGCGCGATGGTGGCACGCGTCGTGGGAATCTGCGCCGGGCGATTTCGCCGGCTGATTGCAACGCGGCGCCGTTTGAATTCAATGATGTGCAGACGCGGATGACCGCGGGCTGGCGCCGGCGGTAATGTCCGGCTCTGTGAGCAAGCTGTCGTAGGTGCCGGGGTCACGACTTGGTCGTGGGAGGTGGCGGGCGTGACCGTGTCGCTGACCGGAGCGACTGGCTGTTTTCAGACGTCCATCGCGCGGTATGAGCCACACCCCACAGCCAGACGGTTCGCCAGCCCGTCAGGTTGGCACGCCGACCCCGCAGCAGGCGCAGCAGCAGCAGCTGCAGCAGCAACAACAGCAGCAACAACAGCAACAGCAACAACAGCAGCAGCAGGCTCAGCAGCAAGCCCAGCAGCAGGCGCAGCAGCAGGCGCAACAGCAAGCCCAGCAACAAGCGCATCAGCAAGCTCAGCAGCAACAG